GTGTGTATATATATACATATATATGTATGTATGTATATATATATGTATATATGTATTTATTTTGTCCGTATGCGTATGTCAATGTCGGCCAGCTTGAAAAAAAAATGAAACTACGTTTTTGCGTTTTCAGGGTTGCCGGACTGTCTCATTTGACATCGCACTTATCGCATACACTAAACATATGTGTGCAAATCGTGGTGCGCAGAACGCGCCTAGCTACTTGGTAATCGTATGCATTCTTAAGTTTGCTGCTTGTTATTGTTGTTGTTCTACTGTTTTGTTGGAATCGAATTTTGTAAGTACCTGTTTGAGCTAAAATTTTTTTGTTTTTCTATTAATTTCTGCCAACACGAAAATCTGCCTGCTTCTTACAACGTGGCAACGTTGTTCTATCGTTCTCTCAAATGGCTAGATCTGGCAATACACTCTGTGTTTACTTCTTATTTATTGTATTTATAAATCAAAACTTAAATACTTTTGAGATGCTAAAGTAATTAAAAATTACAGCTCGTTGTGCTCATTGCGGGAAGACGAATTGGCAGGCAGATGAGCTTTCAGTTCGCGCCAGAAGTCGACGCGATGCTGCAGCAGCGCTAGTTCCATGCGCAGCAGCGCCGGCAGTTCGGTCTCGGTCTCGTCCAAGTCCAACTTGGAGCCCAGGCGGGCATACTGCACTGGATAGGTGCGCGTGGGCAGCCAGGTGGGTAGGTTGCTGGTGCCATTCACATGATTGGGATCACTAAATGAAATCGATTTATTTCAGTTGATGTTTGTTTCAATTGCTAAAGAGAGAGAGCTGGCATACCCGTTACGCGCAAAGTTCACCCAGAGGCGGAGCATTAGGTCGCGCAGCTCCAGGTCCTGTCGCGTCGGCACCGCGCTCACGAACAGCTCCCGGCCGATGGGAAACAGATACTGCAGCTCCTCAGCATGGCAGGCGCCATAGAACTCGTTGCGTGCGCCCTTAAAGATCTCCGAGAAGCTGGCCGCGCCCTTGTGATCAAACAGATAGACATACGTGGGCGCCAGCTGCTGGTCATCCAAGCGCAGCTGCAAGTACTCATCGACGCCAGCCACAAACCAGCCATCGGATATAAGCTGCAAGCGACATAATATATCAATATATGGGGAGATATATGTATGGTATGGTGATCTGATTCTTACATCGGTCAGATTCTGATGGTTGGATTTGTTGTAGTTGTGGCCCGCTTTGAAGTAGAAGTTCTCTATGTGGCGCGTTATCTGCTGCTGCTTCTCCTCGTCGTGATGGTCATAGTTGAGCACCACAGGCAGCAGGCGTTCGAAGGACGACTTAAACTCCGCCATGAGATGCGGCAGATTGAGCAGCGCCGCCGTCTTCAGTAGGCCCTCCTCGGCTGTCACGCCTATCATCAGGGGCAGCTCCTGGCCATGCGGTCGCTGCGCCACCTCGCGTGGTCGCTGCGTCAGGAAGGCGCCCTCATGCTCTGGCTCAATGACGGGCGGAAACGGTATCATCGGATCGAAGTCCCAAACCTGAAAGTGGAAGGATCTTTATATACTGTCACCACACCCACACACACACCCACACACTTACAAACATGTCGTAGAGCGTGGCTACCACATCCTCGGCTCGCTTGCCGCGTAAACAGCTCAAGCGCGCAGGCCAATCCTCGCCAGCTGCGGTGCAGTTCAGCAGCTCGCTCAATTTGAGTGCCCGCCGAGCGGCCACGCCCGGGTGGGCGGGCTGTGCCCATGGATTGAAATAGGTGCCCGACTGGGCAATGGCCCGGTGGAGCAGACCGCGAGACTTCTCGGAGAGCATGTGGTAGGTGACGCTGGCACCGCCGGCGCTCTCGCCGAACACCGTCACGCTCTGCGGATCCCCGCCAAAGGCGGCAATATTGTCACGCACCCAGCGCAGCACCTCCAGCTGATCCTTCAGGCCATTGTTGCCCGGGCAGTCGAGCGTCTCGGTGCTGAGGAAGCCGAGCGGGCCCAGCCGGAAATTGGCCGAGACGAGCACAATGTCGTGCTCGAGCAGAAAGTCCGGCCCGTAGAAGCTGCTGATGCCCGCGCCGCACTGCCAGCCGCCGCCGTGGAACCAAACCATCACGGGCAGCGGCTCCGCCGGCACCGGATCTGGCGTATACACGTTGAGGTACAGGCAGTCCTCAGAGCCCTCGATGATCATGTCGCGTCGAAACGGATCGCGCTGCATGCAGACGGGCGCATCCTTAACGGCCAGTCGCTCGCCCTGCCAGGCCGGCATCGGGACGGGCGCCCGGAACCGCAGCTCGCCCAGCGGCGGCACAGCATACGGCACGCCCATAAACGCCCGCATATGCCGCCCGCTGTGGGTGGTCTTGTGGCGGCCCACCAGCCAGCCGCCGTGCGGCATCTGGACGTGCATGCCCTGCGAGGCGCGTGCCCATGCCCCATCGATCAGAGCGCCCAGCACGAGCGCCCCCAGCCACAGCAGCTTCCAGTCGCTTGCCATTCTCAGTCCCAGCTCTTCAACTCGTCAACTGATTTGGCCAACGGCCGCTGCTGCCGCTTTTAATATTACAACATTCGCTCTTGCCAGGCGCGGGCAGCGCACACTGGTTCCGCTTACTAAAAATACCCAATGAAAACAATAACAACACTAAATGAACCCAACAAAATAATTGAAATTCAATAAATTTCCATAACTGGAAAAAGGCCAACATATTCTTAAAGATCGAAAGTCGTTTTTCGGACTCGTCAAATTTATAATTTAATCTGTAATCTGTAATCTGTAATCTTTGATCTGACATCTGGCAGCTGTTATACATTTACCTTAATCAGATTCTCTCTGAAAGCTGCTTGATAGCTTGCACGTGCTCGATGGGCTCACACTCTGGGCTCAGCGTACTTAAGCTGTAAATTCCTGTAACTTTAGTTTCAAGAACTGGCAGAGCTTTCTGTGCTTTCGCAGCAAAGCTTGCGGAAAGTCCTTGAACTTGAGTTAGCTCAAGAATAATCACTGTTCAGGCGGAGCTTTTGTGTGCTTTCGCAGTTGAGCTTTTTGCAGCAAGTCCTTTAAAGGTATGCTTTATGCTCTTCGAGCTTTCAGGCGTCGCAAGCTCTTATGCGCTTCTTAAGATGCTTCTTCGTGCAAAGCTTAGACAGATTGGGCTTTTATACACGCTTGGTTCTTTATTTTTTATTATTTATGATATTTTGTATTTATTTTTAATTCAATTTTGGTTTGGGTTTTTGCACACTCTTTGTTTATTTTTTATTCATTTTCTTTTATTAACATTTTTATTTTATTTATTTTTTATTAAATTCTGTTGCTTTA